CTCAGCTGACTTCTCTACAGAAACACTACAGGCCAGAAGGGAGTGGCATGAAGTAATCAAGGTCATGAAAAACAAAGATCTAAATCCAAGACTACTCTATTCAGCAAGGCTATCATTCAAAATAGAAGGTCAAATAAAAAGTTTTCCAGACAAAAAAAAAAAAAAAGGCTAAGGAAATATATTAACACCAAACCAGCACTGCAGATATGCCAAAAGGACTGCCGTAATTAGTAGAAAAAATAGAAAGAAAAATAGAACCACACTAAACAAAAATGGCAATAAATAAGTGCATATCAATTATCACCTTATATGTGAATGATATGAATGCTCCGATAAAAAGACACAGAGTAGCTGACTGGATAAGAAAGCATGACTCATATATATGTTGTTTACCCACCTCACAACAAAGGACTCACATAGGTTGAAAGTGAAGGGATAAAAGAAAAAATCTTTCAAGCAAACTGAAAGGAAAAAAAAATGGGGTAGCAATATTCATATCTGGTAAAGTAGACGTCAAAATGAATACCATAACTAGAGACATAGAAGGCCACTACATAATATAGAAAGGATCTATCCAACAGGAAGATATAACCTTGGTAAACATATATGCACCCAATTTAGGAGCATCAACATATATTAAAAATCTTTTGGAGGACTTCAAAGGAGAAATCAACAGCAATACAATCATAGCAGGGGACTTCAATACCCCCTGACACCACTGGATAGATCTTCTAGACAAAAAATTAACAAGAAAACACAGACTCTAAATGAAGTGCTAGACCAAATGAATTTAATAGATATCTACAGAAAATTACACCTAAAAACTACAGAATTCACATTCTTCTCAAGTGCACATGGGACATTCTCAAAGATAGACCACATGTTAGGGCACACACTAAGTCTCTACACATTCAAGAAGATTCAAATCATATCCAGCATCTTCTCAGATCACAACTGCATGCAACTAGAAATCAATTGCCACAAGAACATGCAAAGACATTTGAACAAATGGAGGCTAAATAGTATGTTATTGAACAATGAATGGGTTACCATGGAGATCAAGGAAGAAATTAAAAACTTTCTGGAAACCAATGCAAATGAACACACAACAACACAAAATCTATGGGATGCAGTGAAAGCAGTTCGGAGAGGGAAGTTCATAGCACTACAGGCCTACCTCAAGAAGCAAGAAAAATTTCTAATAGACTATTTAACCTCACAACTTAAACAACTAGAAAGCAAACAGAAAAAAACAAAACAAAAAAACAAACAAACCCAGAACAAGTAGAAGGAAGGAAATAGTAAAGATCAGAGAAGAAATAAATTGCATGGATACCAAAAAAAACAATTCAAAGGATCAATGAAACAAAGAGCTGGTTCTTTGAAAAGATAAACAAGATTGATAGACCCTTAGCTAGACTCATCAAAAAAACAAAGAGAGAGAACCCAAATACACAAAATCAGAAATGAAAGAGGAAAAATAATAACTGACACCACAGAAATACAAAGGATTGTTAACAGATATCATGAACAATTAAAAGGCAACAATTTCGACAATCTAAGTGAAATGGACAAATTTCTAGAAACACATAGTCTCTCAAAACTGAACTGGGAAGAGATAGAAATACTTGAACAGACCAATAACAACAAAAGACACTGAAGATGTAATAAAGACTATCCAGGCAAACAAAAGCCGAGGCCAAAAGGCTTCACGGGGGAATTTTACCAAACATTCAAAGAAGAACTAATACCAATTCTCCTCAAACTATTTCAAAATATTCAAGAAGAAGGAAGACTTCCAAACTCATTTTATGAGGCCAGCATAATTCCAATTCCACAACCAGAAAAAGACATTATAAAGAAAGAAAACTACAGGCCAATATCCCTGATGAACATAGATGCCAAATCCTGAACAAAATACTAGCAAATCAAATCCAGTAATACATCCAAAAAATTATTTACATGACCAAATGGGATTCTTCCCAGGGATGCAAGGCTGATACAATATTTGCAAATCAATAAAAGTGATATACCACATAAACAAAATGAAAGATAAAAATCATATGATCATATCAATAGACACTGTAAAAGCATTCAACAAAATCCAGCATGCATTTCAAATAAAAATGCTCAGCAATCTGGAAATAGATGGACCATATCTTGACCTAATAAAGGCCATATATACCCTGGCCGGTTTAGCTCAGTGGTTAGAGAGTTGGCCTGCAGTCAGAGAGACCTGGATATGGTTCCTGCTAAGGGCATGTACCTTGGTTGCAGTTTGTCCCCGGCCCTGGTTGGGTCGTGCGGGTGGCAGCCACTTGATGTGTCCCTTTCACATTGATGTATTTAATGTTTCTGTCTCTCTCTCCCGCTCCCACTCTATCTGAACAAAAAATGGAAAAATGTCCTCGGGTGAGGATAAAATAAAAAAATAAAGGCCATATATGAAAGACCTACAGCCAACATCATACTCAAAGGGCAAAAACAAAAGCATTTCACTTAAGAACAGGAAGAAGACAAATATGCCCACTTTCGCCACTCTTATTTAACATAGTACTGGAAATCTTAGTCTCAGTAATCAGACAGGAAGAAAAAATAAAAGGGATCCAAATTGGAAAGGAGGAAGTGAAACTGTCATTATTCACAGAGGACTATACGTAGAAAACCCCAAAGACTCCATCAAAAATTTACTAGATTTAATAAATGAATTTGGCAAAGTAGCAGGATACAAAATTAACGTCAAGAAATTGATGCATTCTTATACACCAAGGATGAACTCACAGAAAGAGAAACTAAGTAAACAATCCCATTTACCATTGCAGCAAAAAAGTTAAAATACCTAGGAATAAACTTAACCAAAGAAATAAAGAACCTATTCACAGAAAACTACAAGTCATTGAAAAGAGAAATAGAGGAAGATATAAAAAGTGGAAGCACATACCCTGTTCATGGATTGGAAGAATTAATATCATTTAAATGTTCATATTACCCAAAGCAATCTATAGATTCAATGCAATCCCCATCAAAATTCCAACGACATACTTCACAGAACTAAAACAAATATTTCAAAAGTTCATATGGAACCAAAAAAGACTCGAATAGCCACAGCAATCTTGAAAGAGAAGAACAAGTTGGAGGGATCACATTACCAGATTTCAGGTTATACTACATAACCACTTTAATCAAAACAGCCTGGTACTGGCACAAGAACAGGCATATAGACCAGTAAAACAGAACAGAGAATGCAGAAATGGATCCAAGGCAATATGCTCAATTAATATTTGACAAAGGAGGCAAGAGCATACCATAAAGACAGCCTCTTTAATAAATGGTGTTGGGAAAATTGGACAGCTACATGCAAAAAAATGAAGCTAGACCATCAACTTACACCATATACAATAAACTCAAAATGGATAAAAGACTTAAATGTGACTCATGAACCATAAAAATCCTAGAAGAAACTGTAGGCAACAAAATGTCAGACATCATACACAGCAGAATTTTCATCACCTAATACATCACGTAAGGCAACAGAAACAAAGGAGAAAATGAACACATGGGATTATATCAAACTCAAAAGCTTCTGCACAGCAAAAGATACAATCATCAAAATGGAAAGGCTACCCACTGTATGGGAGAGCATAACTGCCAATGATACATCAAATAAGGGGGTAATTTCCAAAATACATAGAGAGTGCTCATACAACTCAACAAACGGAAGTCAAAGAACCCAATTAAAAAATGGGCAGAGGAACTAAATAGACACCTCTCCAAACAGAACATACAAATGGCTAAGAGACATATGAAGAAATGCTCAACATCACTAATCATCAGTGGGATGCAAATTAAAACAACAATGAGGTATCACCTCACACCTGTCAGAATGGACGCTATCAACAAATCACCAAACAACAAGTGTTGGCGAGGGTGTGGAGAAAAGGGGACTCTAGTACACTGCTGGTGGGAATGAAGACTGGTGCAGCCACTATGGAAAACAATATGGTGTTACCTCAAAAAATTAAAAATGGAACTGCCATTTGCCCAGTGATCACACTTCTAGAAATATACCCTAAGAAGCCTGAAACACCAATCGGAAAGAATATATGTAGCATGTTTGTAGCAGCACCATTTACAATAGCTAAGATCTGGAAACAACCCAAATCTCCATCAGTAGACTAATGGATTTAAAACGGTGTGGTACATATACACAGTGGAGTACTATGAAGCTGTAAGAAAGATCTCTTATCCTTTGAGATGACATGGAGGGACCTGGAAAGTATTATCCTAAGTGAAAAAAGCCAAACAGAGAAAGGGAAGTATGATATGATCTCACTTATTTGTAGAATATAGTGAACAAACCAGTCATAGAAATGAGGTAGACCCAGAGATGTGAAAGTGGGGTACAGACTGACAATTCCTGGAAGGGGGGATGGTGAGGGAGAGATAAACCACAGAACTTACATGCATGTGTGCCTGAACAATGGACATGAACAACAAAGCTGGGGACAGGACAGGGAGGGAGTGGGAGTGGGGAATCAGTGGGGGAAAAAGGCAAAACATCTGTAACAAAAATAAATCAATTAATTTTTTAAAAAAGCAGCTACTATGAGTAGTTTGCTATGCAAATACCAACATAAATATATATTTAATAGAAATGTGATAGTCTGTGTTGTTTTCACTTTATCTTGGACCTACTGACATAGGTATTTCTATCTTAAATAGCTGCAGAGTTACACAGTATTCCATTACTTTGATGAATGAAAATGTCTTATCTAACATCATACTGATGGTAGTTAGGGTAGTTTCTGCTTAGTTAACCAGCAAAGACAATGCTGCAGTGAATAGTCTTGTATTTACTTCTAAGAGTATTTTTGTTGGATAAATGCTGACAGAGATAAAGACATGCTGAATGACAGGACTTGCATGAATGCCACTATTAGGTTAATATGGCCCCTAACTTACAAATACACAGTAATACCAGGTTAAAATTCCACTCTTACCTTTGTTGCCAAGGATTTGAGTTTTCCTAGTAATGACTGTTTATTGGAATATACAACTTCCTCTTCATTATCTTCTCCTTCCATGATAGCACAACTGTCTGCAGCTGGGAGTTCACACTCTTTTGAGTTGGTTGTCATTACTAACTTGGAATATTTGTACTCCAGTCTAAGTAGCAACAAATAAACAGATAGGTAAAGTAGAGGTTTAATACTTATTTTAGGTGGTCATATACCCACTCATTAAATTGCCTTGTAGTATAGTTGTTCTACCAACAAATTTCCCTCACCTACAGCTATCACATTATATGTTCTCATTTATCTACCATCTGCACACATATCTTTTCCAGGATTTCAGAGAATCAGTGCAACACAGTTAATTCTATAATTATTTGACATTGATTAAATTATCCAATTATGAACTTAGGAGGGGGAGAGAAACTGTAAGGTCTAAATGCATTTTCTTAATTTATAAATATTTGGAAGCTAACTCACTATAGAGTGTTCCAAAGTTTAGGTCATAAGGCTAAGAAAACCATACAGGCAATTTATTTGGTCTTTAGCATTTCTCTCTATCACTCATTCTTTTCTATTAAAAAAAAAAAAAAAAAAAAAAAAAAAACAACTAAATATTTCAATTGTCCTAAGATAACATAGAACTTTCACAATCTCACTGACACATAAGTCATTTTTAAAGAGTAAATCATGTAACACATCAATATAAAATCAGAAGTCAGACTCAATAATCAACTCCAGATTTTTAGTGTCCTTGGGTAAATAAAGGTGATATCTGCTTATACAGTTAGTCTGTTTCTTCACACATATCTGCCGACAAGATAGTAAAAAAGGAAAGTTGGGGTAAGAATGCATCATATAATGACAAGAAAAATAGACAAAGAGGAAATCTGCCTTCAGATCTGACACCTGAGTAACCTGGACCCTCTGTTTTCGTTTTGTATTAAATGAGTCTAAGTCAATAATCTCTAATGTTCTATGATCTCCACATTATCAGAATAACAATGACTTCCATTTGTCTTCTGAAAGGCCTTTCCTATAAATCCCTCACAAGGAAAAGCACCTTGTGTCTCTGAGAGAAACTACTGGATATAATGATTAAGTCTAAAAATTTCACAACAAAAGAGATCCTTCAGTTCTTATATGGTCACTCCAATGAGGTTACTTACTTCTGATTCTTTTTCCAGAAATAGCAAGTTAGAGCCACCAGCAAAACAGCAGTGAAAGCTCCCACACCTGCTCCCACTTTTAGCCAAAAGTCAACTGTTTCGCAGGTTGACAACTTTTTCTCAGGCAAAGAAACTCCTTTCATGCACCATTTTGGTTCATTCCATACATATAGGGTTTCCTTAGGAAAAAAAGAACATACACAGAGATGACATGAGAAATAAAATTCAGAGGGGAAAGGTTTGCCAACCCTTTATTACTGTAAACATAGAGGATTATTCAGTATTCATCTAGTAGAAGCTCCAGATGTGTGGAAGATACATAGAATATATAGGAGAGATACAGACAAGAGAGAATAAGGAAACGATGAATTAAAACGCAACAAAACCAAATAAAACCATGGACTGTCAGATCAGAAGGCTTGCTACATGCTGAGGAAGTTGAATAAAAATGACTCCATCCAGACACATCCTTTGGGCTATTTTCCTCACATTTCTGATGATCTCTGACTTCTGACTCATGTTTTTAAATGAAAGCTTAGTTTTCTAATATAATTATAATTGGAATGTTTTCCACTACAGGCCTCTCCCCTGAGCAGAAGACACAGACCCTAGACCCTGGGCATGTAGGTACAATATGACTAGCAGGCTTTGGTGACTGGTGCAGGGGGAGGCATGCAGACTGCACCATCCCAAAATAAGGACAGCATTATTCTGGGTCATCACACCCACACAAGGTTCTCACTCTCAGCCTTCAAAAGTAGATGACTAAATGTGTTTAGAGAAATGCTTTTCAAACTGAAAGTTGCAATTAACCAGTAAATAATAAGGCCAATATATTGGGTCACAACCAGCAATTTTTAAATAATAGATCAAATTTAAAAATTTTTAAAAGAAAAAGAGTATAGTACATGATTCCTAATGTACTTCAACATATGCAGTAACCAGTAGCAATCTGCATGATGATTATATCCAGTGACATTAAATGTCATGGGGCATTAAATTTTTTGCTCATGGTGTCTCCTTAAATTTTCTGGTGTACGATGGTCACTTTATCAACATCCTTACAGAAGGGTAACACCATAAAGTTTAAGTTGATTTTATATACAAACAGAGATTTTTGTAGTTAGTCATGAAGTGATTGATGTACAGAAGAAGTGTATCTATTTATTTTGCGATAAAGATTCAACCAAGGTTGCATAAGAACTTTCAGCATGTATTTCTAAAAAGGACTTTAAAAGTAAGAATTTTTTAGTACATGATAACTGTACCATTTTCATTCAACTTAGTGTGAATAAACTACTCTTCAAATGGGTCAGAGTTTTATGAGAAAGATGAGGAAAGAAATGAAGAGACATATTCAAGTTGAACTGATGCATCTCTAACTGTAAATAATGACAATGAAGAGACAAATGTTAACCCTAGTCAGCAAATGTTGACTTCATCTGAAGTGCATTCCAACAGGAAAACAGACCATAAAAGAGTTTATATGGTTTTATTAAATGTTCAACACCCAGTGAAAATGGTCGGCTCTAATGTTATAACAGTCCTATAAATAAAATCTTTAAACTTAAAAATTAAACTTTAAGTATGCTTAACTTGAAGCTCCTCAAATTGTTAGACCAAAAAAAGTCAAGCTATTGGAAATATTTCTTAGTCATCTATAACTTAGTCATTTTATACATTTCTAAGTCATTTTATTTTTTTATTTATTTAATTAATTTATTTTTGCTACAGATGTTTCTCCTTTACCCCCCCACTGATTCCCTCCTCCCTCTCCCTCCCCACCCTGTCCCCAGCTTTGTTGTCCATGTCCATTGTTCATGCATACATGCATATAAGTTCTGTGGTTTATCTCTCCCCCACCACCCCCTCTTCTGGGGTTTGTCAGTCTGTCTGTTTCATTAATTAGGAAGCCATATGCCTTCATTTGGTCACAACATCATTGGCGAACAAGATAATGGCTGATAATACAGCTGAAATTCTTCCAGTATGTAGGGATATTTTGTGAACAGGGTGAGATAAATTTGATGACAAATTTAAAAGCATTCCTCTTAGTGATCACATAGTACCTCTTTAAATCTTTACTACTATCTGACGTTTAGAAGTAATGCTTAATACATCCTTAGAACCTAGTATAGATTTTTGAGATCCAATTTGATAAGAGTACTTTTATCACACATTGTGTAGCTCTTTCAGCTTATATCAGCTGAATGTGGAGAAGTTGTAGTGTGCAATTTTAACTTTATACACATCTGGATTAGATGTATTTACAGAATTGGCGAAGTGAACTATAAAATGAAAAATCACAAAGGATGGAGCAGGAACTAGGGCAGAAACATAGTGAAATTATTTAGAAGTTAAAAGATACCCATAGCAATACATTGTAACCACTGTCTTTTTCTATCAAAAGGCTTTGGCATCCAAAGAAATCCACCCTTGTTCATGGTCATAATGGACAATACAGTGAAAGTTGTCCTTTGTATTATATGAAGCTCATGGAAGAGCAGACTTTTTGAAACATTTTATTCACAGACTGGAAGTAAACATCACACCCATGTTTGTTGTTGCAATGGAATATGCTAAGCAAGATGTATGAGCTTAGATATGGCATTCAAACTTTTCTAGTTGAAGCTAGGTCTCATTTGGCAAATACTTTCAAAATCGACATCTAAGTATACAAAAGGGCACATTTAACTGGTTTTGGTATTTCTCAAATTAAATAGAAAATATGAGGGGAGGTCATATATTTCAACATGTCAAATACACTGATGTTCCAAAGATATTGTTCTTGAGGTCAAAAAAATTGTTTTAAAGAATGACCTTGCAACTATCTGTTGTTCCTAATAGTTTTATCATATATTAAATAGAACATTTTCAATGAAGATAGTTTGAGATAAAATTAGAAGAATTGTTTCAACCTCACCTCTAATCATTACCTTCCAGAATAGAAATAATAAATATTAAAGAATATTTTTTTATCCTCACCTGAGGACATTTTTCCATTTTTTATTCAGATAGAGTGGGAGGGGGAGAGGGGAAGAGAGAGAGAGAGAAACATCGATGTGAAAGAAATACATCAAGTGGCTGCCTCTTGCACGAACGACCCAACCAGGGTCAGGGACAAACTGCAACTGAGGTATGTGCCCTTAGCGGGAACCAAACCCAGGTTCAGAGACTGCTGAGCCAAACTGGCCAGGGCTTGAAGAAGATTTTAATAAAAGGTAGTTTAGCTTTTCAAACCTCAAGTTAAACTTGGTAGACAAAAAAGAGAATGTATCTTAGTTTTTCATTTACTCTTTAACTTATTATATTAATCATTTTTTATCATAAACTGGAATGAGTACAAGTAAGCATACTTGATGAATTAAACAAAACATTTTCTAACTTTTAGTGTTGTCTATTTGGGGACTTTTCTATTTTGTATAAAATTATTAGGAAAGCATTTTATATTAATGTTATGGTTATACTTAACCATAAAATATTTAAAAAGTATTGTTCCATGAAACAACTTTATTTTGAGGCATGTCTGAGTTTGTGCCTGTGGACTAGGTTTGATGTACAATGTATTTCTTACTACAGGTTCACTGTCATTAAAGTTCGAAAAACACCAATTTAGAGAACTGTTCTCTGTGTTTTTGTTTATTTGTTTGTTTTCCCCTAGAGTTGAACACTACTTCTTCCACATATGTTGAATGCATGAGATTGGGCAAAGGCATTCTGATTTCTCACACTCCTACCCTCCAACCTGTCAATTACAAGCTCATTAAAGACTTTCCGGGACAGAACACCTTCCTTCTGATCTCCTGTGCAGTGAGCACTCCAGCATGTTCCCCACTCCATGACCACCTGAAGACCAGCCCTATCCCATCCACCTTCTAGCTCTCAGAAATTTCACTGGACTCTCTGGCCCTGATGCCCACTCACACTGGTATTGATTTATTCTCATCTGTACCTCCTCCAATGGGAATTGGCAAGGGCAAGGTGGTAGGCAAGGGGTCAGAAGGTGAAAAAGTTTGTGTTTTCCAAATGGGACAACTGAAAGCTGGTGCAGTGGAGTAGGTGCTCTCAAACACTACTACTAAAAGTGCAAAGTGATACAACCAAAGCAATTTGGTAATATGTATCAAGAACCTTAAAAATGTCCATCTCCTTGAATCCAGTTCATCTCTTGCTAGTAAGAAACTCTAAGGAAATAATCAAATTTCCAAGAGGAATGTTCATTACAGAGTTAGATATAAAAAGACAGTTTTCAATTTTTCTCAAATGTCCAACAAGGGAGTTATTAAATCCCAAATTATATATGAACTAGAACACTGGTCAATAACTAAAAGCCTTTTTCAAAAAAATTTAATGACAAAGGAAATGTATTAAATGTAAAAAGTAAACAAAAATATATTTGAACTTACATTTTGTTTTTTAATAAAACAGATAAGCAAACAGAACTGAAGAGAAATGTAGAACAGGATCTTGATTATATATGTATATGCTTCACTCTTAGATATGCTTCTTGTGGTGAGTCAGTTATCCAGTCCCACCTTAATTCTGCCTGTAACTGTATTACATGATCATATCTTGGCTTAACTGTATCACTTCTTTACAATCCAGGTAAATATCCACACCCTTGCCATAATTCCTTTTCCCAAACTCAGAGTACATTTTCAGCTACCTCCGCATATAGGAGTTTGGCTACAAAACTTAATTTTAAATGCATATTAATGTCATATTAAGTGAACTAAGGCTTTAGCCATGCTCTCAAATCTGAGTTTCTATGATGTAAGTGATGTTAAACTGAATAACTGTATTTTCTTTTTAAATGTGTCTTTATTATTGCATGTATTATTAGATGTCCCTCCTTTTTCCCCCCTTGACCCCCTCCTCCCCATTCCCACCTTCTTCCTGCCTTCCCCGTACTATTGTCTGTGTCTATTGGTTATACATATATGCATATAAGTTCTTTGGTTTCTCTCTTCCCGCCCCACCTCCCTGCTTCCCTTTGAGATTCGTCAATCCATCAACCAATTTGTACTTCCTAATCCCTTCATCTTTATCACCCGACCCCCCCTCCCATCTGGCAACCAACAAAAAGTTCTCTGTATCTATTAGTCTGTTTCTAGTCTGCTTGCTCATTTTGTTTGTCGATTCAATTGTTGACAGATATGATTTATTGCAATTTTATTATTCATATTTTATCTTCTCCAAGTAGACCTGTCAGCATTTCATATAATACTGGTTTGCTGGTGATGAACTCCTTTAGCTTTTCCTTGTCTGGGAAACTTTATAAGGCCATCGATTCTAAATAATAGCTTTATAGGATAGAGTAATCTTGGTTGTAGGTCCTTGCTTTTCATCACTTTGAATATTTCTTGCCACTCCCTTCTGCCCTGCAAAGTTTCTGTTGAGAAATCAGCTGACAGCCTTACGGGAGCTTAGTTGTAGGTAACTAACCACTTTTCTCTTGCTGCTTTTAAGATTCTCTCTTTGTCTTTAACCTTTTGCATTTTGATGATAATGTGTCTTGGTGTAAGCCTCTTTGAGTTCATCTTGTTTGGGACTCTGCACTTCTGGACCTGTAAGTCTACAGTCAGCCCTCGTTTATCACAGTTAATCAGTTCCTGACTCTACTGTGATGAATGTATTTATTTAAATACAGCCCTGGCTGGCTTTGCTCAGTGGTTAGAGTGTCGGCCTGTGGACCAGAGAGACCCGGGTTCGGTTCCCACTAAGGGCGTGTGCCTTGGTTATGGTTTGTCTCCAGCCCTGGTTGAGGTCATGTGGGTGACAACCAGTTGATGTGTCTCTCTCACGTCAATGTTTCTCTCTCTCTCTTCCTCCCCCTCTCCCTCCCACTCCATCTGAAGATAAATATAAAAATGTCCTCGAGTGAGGATAAAAAAATAAATACATACAGTTGTCCCTTGCCACTTCGCGCTTCGACTTTTGTGGCTTTACTCTATCATGGTTTTCTTCAAATACTATACTATACTATACTATACTATACTATACTATACTATACTATATTTGGAAAAAACACAATAGAGTGAAGCCGAGAAAGTTGAAGCGTGAAGTGGCGAGGACGACTATATTTCCTTCACCAGGTTAAGGATGGTTTCTGTCATTGTTTTTTCAAATAGGTTTTCTATTTCTTGCCCTCCTTCTGGCACTCCTATGATGCGAATGTTGGTACACTTGAAGTTGTTCCACAAACTCCTTATACTATCCTCGTTTTTTTGGATTCTTTTTTCTTTTTGCTGTTCTGATTGGATGTTTTTTTGCTTCCTTATATTCCAAATTGATGGTTTGCTTCTTGGTTTCACCTACTCTACTATTGATTCCTTGTAAACTATTCTTTATTTCAGTTAGTACATTCTTCATTTCTGACTGGTTCTTCATTTCTGACTGGTTCTTTATTATGTTCTTGAGGTGCACACTAAGTTCCTTGAGCATACTTATAAGCAATGTTTTAAACTCTGCATCTGTTAGATTGCTTATCTCAATTTCATTTAGTTCTTTTCTTGGAGTTTTGTTCTGTTCTTTCATTTGGGACATGTTTCTTTGTCTGCTCATTTTGGCCGCCTCCTTGTGTTTGTTTCTATGCATTAGGTAGAGTTGCTATGTCTCTTAGGCTTCATAGCATGGCCTATTATTGTAGGTGTCCTGTAGGATCCAGTGGCACAGACTCCCTGATCACCCAGTTAGGTCCTCGAGGTGTACCCCTAGTGTGTACTTTATACGCTTCTGTTAATTGAGTCTTTATTGCTGTTGGCACATCAATGGGAGGGTTTTACTGAGGCTGATTAGCTTCAAGGATCGGCTGTGCCCTCTAAACACTGACCTCTGACTACCTTGGATGAACATGTGTGCAGGGGCCCACCACACAGAGCAAGACTTACTTCAGCAGGGCTCTGGTACCCTTGGGGTCCATTCTTTGAGTGTGTCACTTGTGGAGGTGACTGGTGCTGGTGCTTCACCATGGTCTGAAGCTATCTACTGGGTCTGCTGGCTCTGGGGCATGGTCAGCCACTGCCTGTGTTCCACCCAGGGCCACCAGGCATAAGTTACAAAGCAGTCTGCAGATGGCTGCTTCTTGTGCTGGGTTTGTAGGTGCCCAGACAGAGCAAAGTTGTGAATGTAGGCCAGCTGCTTCTAGTGCCAGACCTGGGGCCACTTAGCAAGCGGTGTGGGGCTTGCTGTGGCCAGATGCTGCTTGTTTGAGATAATTTAGGAAAATATGAAGCAGGAGGAAACAGGCCAATCCTATGGTAAAGCCACTGGAAACAGCTTGGGTGGGCTTGAAAGTTGGGTGGGGCAGGAGCTTGGGGAATCACCAGGGTGGGGCAAACAGTGTGAGCCAGGTTGCTGGAGCCCCAGATATGGCACCTGTTTGCCAGCCCTGTTGGGGAAGGGCTCACCAAAGGAACAATGGCCTCCAGCAGCATGTCTGTCTGAGAGAAAGCTGCCCCTCCAGTTCTCACCCCAATGCCAAACAATACAGTTCTTTCCCGTATGTCTCTGATGCCTTTCAGGCTGTGTCCCCTGCGCTGGAGCCCAGAGGGAGCAAGTCCAAGTAAGTCCATGCATGGGCTCTTTAAGAGGAACTGCCTGGGACTCTATTCCCACTGGTTTTTATAACCAGAAGTGATGGGGACTTCTCTTCCTGGCACTGGAACCATGAGCTGAGAGCCTGGTATGAAGTGGGGACCACTTACTCCTCAGGGAGGACCTTGACAGCCGAGGTATAATCCTGATTTTTATCTGCCACACATGGGTGTGGGACCAACCTGTCTGCACGTCCGTGCCTCCTACCACTCTTGATGTGGCTTCTTTTATTTTATACTTGCAGTACTTCCATTCAGCTCAATTTCAGGCAGTTCTGAAGGGTGTTTGTTCTGTAGTTTAGCTGTAACTTTGATGTGGTTGTGGGAGAAGGTGAGTACCACTTTTTGGAATAATTGTATTTTCAATGACACAGTTCTGCTTAGGCAGATTTGCTCCTTACCTGAAATCCTCTCTTACAGGCTCCCTCAATCTCATGAAAGTCATGCTCCGTGCACAGAGGGCAAGCTTCAGCACTCTCCCACAGGAAATAGAAAGTACATCCATCACAGGTGCCTGCTGGACACTTGCTAAAATAAAAATGAAAAAAACAACAAAAATGACAGTTTTGCAACACATCCAATCAAGTCCAATCAACAGTTGAGTGCATACTGCATACTGGGAAGCAATGCGTAGATACTGAGGAAACATACATAAAAAACATTCTCTAAGGGAGACAAAACCACAATGAGATACCTCTTTGCACCTACTAGGAGATATCACCTCACATCTGTCAGAATGGCCGTTATCATCAAATCATCAAACAACAAGTGTTGGGAGGGTGTGGAGAAAAGGGGACTCTAGTACACTTCTCGTGGGAATGCAGACTGGTGCAACACTATGGTGTTACCTCAAAATTAAAAATTGAACTTCCATTTGACCCAGTGATCCCGCTTCTAGGAATATACCCTAAGAAGCTTGAAACACCAATCAGAAAGAATATATGTATCCCCATATTCATAGCAGCACCATTTACAATAGCTAAGATCTGGAAACAGCCCAAGTGTCCATCAGTAGACGAATGGATAAAAATGCAGTGGTACAGCCCTGGCCGGTTTGGCTCAGTGGTTAGAGCGTCGGCCTGAGGTCCGGAGTGACCCGGGTTCGGTTCCCGCTAAGGGCACGTACTTCGGTTGCAGTTTGTCCCCGGCCCTGGTTGGTCGTGCGGGTGGCAGCCACTCGGTGTGTCCCTTTCACATCGATGTTTCTCTCTCTCTCTCTCTCTCTCTCTCTCTCTCTCTCTCTCCTTCCCTCCCTCCCTCCCTCCCTCCTGCTCTATCTGAACAAAGAATGAAAAAGTGTCCTCGGGTGAGGATAAAAAAATAAAATAAAATAAATGCAGTGGTACATATACACAATGGAGTAGTATGCAGCTGTAAGAAAGAAAGATCTCTTATCCTTTGAGATGACATGGAGGGACCTGGAAAGTATTATCCTAAGTGAAACAAGCCAAGCAGAAAAAGACAAATACCACATGATCTCACTTATATGTGGAATATAATGATCGTAACAGTCTGAGGAATAGGGTAGACCCAGAAACATGGAAGTAGGGCACAGACTGACAACCCTCAGAAAAGGGGGTGGTGGAGGGTGGGAAAAGATAAACCACAGAACTTATATGCATGTATGCATAACCAATGGACATGGACAACAAAGTCGGGGATGGGATGGGGGGGATGGGGAGGAGGGTGTCAATGGGGTAAAAAAGGAGAAACATCTGTAACAAAAATAAAATTAAAAAAAAAATCCAGATAACAAGTGTTGCAAGGATATGGGGAAAGTGGAACCCTTATCCACTGCTGATGGGAATGTGAAATGGTGATGGTTCTTTGGAAGAATCTGGCAGTTCCTCAGACAATTAAACAGAGAGTTACCATATGATCCAGCAATTCCATCCAGGTGAATACCCAATAGAAATGAAAACGTGTTCACACAAAAGCTTGTACATGAATGTCCATAGCGGCATTCTTCCTAACAGCCAAAGTGTGGAAACAACCCTTATGTCCCTCAACATTATGAGGGAAAATGGATAAATGAAATGTGGTATATCCATACAGCACAACATTAATCAGCCATAAAAAGGAATACAGTATTGATACATGCCCCAACTTGGATGAACCTAAAAAATACTATGTTAAGTGCAAGAAGTCAATCAAAAATTCCATATTTTATTCACATTAAAGTCCATAATAGAGAAATTTATAAACAGAAAGTAGGTTAATGGTTGCTTAGGGCTGGGAAGGGAGCTAGGGTATAAGGAGGTGATAGATAAAGGGTAAGGGATTTCTTTCTGAGGAAATATAAAAGTTCTAAAATTGCCCCGGCCGGTTTGGTTCAGCAGTTAGAGCGTCAGCCCATGGTCCAGAGAGACCCGGGTTCGGTTCCCACTAAGGGCACGTACCTCGGTTGAAGTTTGTCCCGGCCCCAGTTGGGGTTGTGCAGGAAGCAGCCACTCGATGTGTCCCTTTCACATCGATGTTTCTCTCTCTCCCTCTCTTCCTCTCTCCCCCTCCCATTCTATCTGAACAAAAATGAAAGAATGTCCTCGGGTGAGGATAAAACAAAAAATAAGTTCCAAAATTGACTAGGGTGATGTTTGCACATACCTAACTAAATATACAATAAACACTGAATTGTGTGCTTTAGATGAGTGAATTGTAAGGGTACATGAATTATATCTCTATAAGGCTGTTTTCAAAAAATTTAAAGGAGAGACAGACACAGATAATGACACACATACACACAAAAACTCCAGAAAGGTATCTTGGTGGAAGTGATGCCTAAACCAAAGTTAGAATCTTCTAGAATAGTAGGAGTTGGCCAGAATAGGAGGGAAGAAAACAAGGGAACTCATGTCGGAGGGATAAAATGGTAGATGCAATGGGAGGAAATTACAAGCAGGTCATTGTGGCCGGAGCTTCGAGAGCGAGACCGTGAGGGAGCAGTGGGCGCTCGGGCAGATATAGGTGGTAACGGGAGGTTGCAATCTCTGCTTAAGGTAATATATGCAGGCAAGGTGCTTTAGAGAACAGATTGGTACACAGCACTGTGGTCCACAGAAGGTGGGAAAAGACAGGAAAACAAAATTGTCTCAAGTGAAAAAACAAACAAAGCCACCATAGGTCACCCCACAGCTCACTGATGCAAATGCTTTGGCAGTCCTGGGTTTCCTCAGCCTGACAATGACTTCCTTCTAGATGTGATTACATACATCACTCAGCAATGCTGGATGAAGTTCAGACAGGTGCAAATTTAGACACAGGTGCAACCACCAGGCAGGGGTGGAGTGGAGACTTTTTGTAACTGCCTTCTGGTGGGTGGGCCTATACTGTCAACTTGCCACTTTCATTTTAGGGGCAGATAAATGCAGCATGGCTCAAAAAATAACCTGCTGCTACTGTATACAGACTGAAGTAGAAAGGCATTTGGGAAAATTCTACTGGGAATGACTGTTTTGTTTATGAAATCAGTAAAACTAGGGAAATGCTGCATTTTTACATAACTATCTTTCCAAAGTGTCTGTGCACTGTAAACGGGTGGAATTAAATAAAAGCAAAGTTCTTTATAACGTGCTTCACGCACACAGGCACACTATTGTCAGAGCCAAGAACAATGGTGAACAGTGTTCTTTGGAAAAACAGCTTAACTCTTCATTTCTCTATTTGTAAAAAGGGAGTAATAAATGTATTCGGACTAATTAAAAATATTTTTTTAAAGGTAGGTGCAATAGATGAAAACTATGTCGATTTAAAAATTTGTTCCTAATGTCCACCTTCCAGATCAGTGAAAAAACTCCAACTTTCTCTTTTGGAAAAAATTGGGTAACCAATTAGAACAATTCTTCAAGAACTATCTTAACATTTTCTGAATTATATTTTTCTTAACAATTACAGGCAATTTTAAAAATAATTAACCTTTTCTTATCATTTAGTAAATATTACCAATATGCTTTCCTGCTCAAATCTTGCCTCCTCAAATTGTTTTCTATTTTATCTTTCCAACCCAGAGAAGTTTTAAGGGGGTGAGGGCTGTTTATCTTGGGAAAATAACAGAGTAAACCTGCTAAAGTTTGCAAAGAAACAACTCAAATAACAAACAGAGAAAATTAATCAAATTTGCAAAAAGCTCTGGAGAGAAGGCTTGGTTACAATTCTAACAGGACTTTCAAGTGACTGTGTGCTTTTTCATACGTAACGGACTCAACACCCCTCCCCACCATAGCATTTTTACAATTTATCAAAAGCTGAATGTCTACTATACTGCTTTCACCGGGTGGTTATAAAGGATAAAATGAGAGAACAATTTGGGAAAGCTTAAAGCACTGCAAAATATAAAACACTGTTCACAATGCACACCACTTTCTAAAGAACTGGTAGAGCCACAGGAACAGAAAAAGATCAAGACATTGATGTACTTTATAAGCTGCCATTCAGTGTCAAAACACTAGAATGACTCAGTGCATTTCCTCGGTAGACTTGACTTTTAAAAAAAAAACACTTGGGTTAAAAGCAGTTTAATTTAGAATCAATCTTTTAATTCTTTTAAACCAATGAATCATTCAAAATGTGGAATATTCAAATTTGATTCTTTGTTATAAACACGAATTTCACAGTTTGAACCGGGCCTTCCCTGTGCAACATTGAAAACAGCAATAATTTCAATGGTGCTGATACCGAAAATGAAAATAGAAAAACAATCCCAGCCAAAGAGGCTCAGTTGGTTGAATGTAGTCCTGTGCACCAAAAAGGTTGTCAGTTTAATTCCCAGTCAGGGCACATAACTGGGTTGTGGGTTCGATCCCCAGTTGGGGAGGGTACAGAGGCAACTGATCGATGTTTTTTTCACATTGATGTTTCTCTCTCTCTTCCCACCCCTTCCTCTCTCTAATCATGTCCTCCAGAGAGGATTTTAAAAAGAAAGAAAAAATGATGCAACAGAAAAAAATTTTCTCCTAGTAAGAGAATAACAAAAAGCGAACACAAAGATAAATGCTGTCTTGCCAAATATGTGAAATACTTTTCCATTTGATGACGCGGGTCACACTATCTTCATCTCCTGTCCTCATCTTCTTAGAGATGTCGCTAATTGTGCTTTAAAATAACTTTTGATCCATGTGAGCACCATAGAAACCAATGAGTAAATGTTTAGAGACAGGACAAGGGTTCAGATGGCTGAGACACGCAAGGTTGGCATTCTACAGGATGAACAGGTATGTTTTGAATTCTAGGTGGAGAGACTTTCTTAAATTCAAAGGACAACCAGGTGAATCTTGATTTGGTTTTAGTGATAAATAAGGAATAAACTAACCAGTTTATTTGGCGTTGGTGATTGCCTTACCAACCAGGGTGGCACTGGCAACATGTAAGAATTCAGATAAAACTTTTTTAGGAAGTTATGTCTTGGAATACATTTCGTGTGGGCAAATCTGGGCTGAGCTGTGAATTATTAGTGTTCTATTTTGTTTGTTTTTTTAATATTTTTTATTTAATCAATTTATTTATTTTTGTTATATTTATTTTTGTTATAACAT